TCTTTCTTTGTATTTAACCTTTTGGCATTTTAATTATAATGTGTCTTGGTGGGGGCCTCTTTGAATCCCTGATTTTTGGAATTCTCTGAGCTTCCTGGGGTTTTATGTACATTTCCTTCACCAGGTTAGGGAAGTTTTCCATCATTATTTCTTCAAACAACTGCTCAGCATCTTGATTTTCTTCAGTTATGCTGATCAGACAAATATTTGGAGCCTTAATAGTGTCCCATATCCTCCTTAAATTATCTTTATAGTCTTGGCATCTTTTTTCTTGCCATTCTGATTGAGTGTCCTGATTGACTTTCCCATCCTTTAGATAGGGCATTTGACCGTGTTCTTTATTCACTTCGTTTATTCCTTTGTTTATTCCATTTAATATACTTCTCATCTCAGATAATGTATTCTTTGTTTAACTGGTTTCCTTTTATAATTTTCATTTCCTTTTTTTTTTTTTATCTCTTTGTTAAAGTTCTCTACACTTCCCAAAAGTTCATTGAGCATCTTTATAACCAGTGTTTTGAACTCTGCATCTGTTAGATTGCTTAACTCCATTATATCTGGATCTCTATTCTCTTCTCTCATTTAGTTTCTGCTTCTTTGTCTTCCCATTTTGGCTGTCTTTCCATGTTTGTCTCTATGTACTAAGCAAAGCTCCTAAGTCTTCTGGTCTTATTAATGTGGATTTGTGAAGTAGGTGTCTGGTGGCACAGTTCCAAGAGGGGTTCAGCTGCAGGTCAAATTTAACCCAAGCCTGTGCTCCTCTGGGGCCACCTGTTAAGATTCAGCAAGCAATCCATAGATGCTGTGCTTATAGTTGCTTCAAAAGGCCATGCCAGGAACTGAGGCTGCCTCCAGTATGAGTCTCAGCAAGAAGCACCTGACTCACTGAAGATACACCTGGATGTGGCTTGAATGGGGCCGTGAGTTGGGGGAAGTAGGGTTTCAGGGAAACCTCTGGGCGGAGCGACCTCTATTATCCAGTTTAATGATGTCTTGGCTATGATGGTGCTGTGTCTGCGTACTGGTAGTGGGGAGGGCTCAACAAGGAACAATGGATACCACCAGCACTACTGTACCCAGAGAGTCTCGCCTCGGCCCTCAGTCTGACAATGTCTCCCTGTAAGTCCCTGGTGCCCTCTGCTTGCACTCCAATTGGCTTTGGTACTCAGAGCGAGCAGGTCTGTCACTGCAAAAATCCTCTTGCAGACATAGCCCCTTTAAGAGGCATCTGCCGCTGCCACTGCTGCAGCCTCCATCTCACTCAGCTGCTCCAGACTGGGCAGTCCCACGTCCTCGCCCCGTCCTATCTTCTGTTGTTGCAGGGTGTTTTCTTGGATTTCTACCTAGTTGTATGGCTTGTTCATCAAGACCCTAGGCGATTTTTCTTTGCTGCTGCTCCTTGTTTCCATCGCAACTTTGATTTGGTCACCAGAGGGATGAACAGAGCCTCTATCATCTATGCCATTTTTTTCCAATCTCTCCTGTATTTTTTAAATATTTTTCAAAATGTGGAAACCTGAAGTCTCCACTGGGAGGGGATCTGCTTATAAGCTCACTTGCATGGTTATTGGCAGAATTCAATTTCTTGTGGGCTGTTGGACTGAAGGCCTCAGTTCCTCAGGGGCTTCGTTTCTTTGTCATGTGGGCCTTTCCAAAGCGAGCTCACAGATAGCAGCTGGTTTAAACACCATGGAGTGTGTTCTGGATGGGTTGATTGTGAGGTTTCCTGGGACAGTGAGCAGGGCGCAACTGGAGCCCTCCAGAAGCAGTATATGACTCCGAGCGAGTAGGAGACTAAAAGGAGGTCCGTATAAATGTGCAGAGAGGGGGTGGGTTGGGACCCACTGGGTACCGGAGGCAGCTCACATAATTGCCAAATCAGACCTGGGCAAGAAATTTAATATGCAAGTCATTGACATATTCATGACAATTGGCATGTTAATATAGAGGAAAAAAGTGAAGAGATTTGAAATTTTATTGAAAACACATTGGCTTTAAAAGGAAAATTTAAGAATAGGCTCAGGTGGGAAAAGGGTTTTCCTGACTGTTCTCTCTTCCAGATGAGGGATGCTCATATTTTGACAGCTCTGAGTTATTGCCTTTTGTTACCTGTCTGTAACATGCTCGTAAGCTTCAGACTATATAAGGACAATTTATCACAGGTTTAGTACCTATCATTACATATCTTTTTGATACTTATTTTTAACTCTGATCTGCTGCACGAGATTATTAAAAATTATAAGGTTTATTTTTAGCTTGATGACAAATTTGAAGAAATAAATTACACTGAGCATTCAGGTATTTGTATTCATATCTCACACTTTACAACGAATTGGATATGGGAATCAGGTAGGGACCTGAGAAGTCAGAAATTGGAGTCATAAAAAAATTAAATTGATTTAACCAAAACAGTCAAGGATGAAATTAAATAGATTAAGGAAGTCAGTTTCCAAGGTACAGACATCATCGGCTGTCTTCCTGTCTTCCCTGTGCAGATTATCCATAGACCATAGAATAGAGAACAGGATCATCTAGCCCCAAATTGCTTTCTAGTCTGCACTTTGATCTCCATTTGGATATTTTGCATACATAATAGTCCCTGGCTACTCCATCCAAAATTACTTTTTTTCAATACAATTCTAAATGTACTTGTTATTAAAAATATTTGTGTGCATTTCAAGACTAATTAATTATACTTTCCTGAATGCATCATTTCAAAACAAACACTTTGGATGTTACGAACAATGTTATTAATAGATTATTTTTATGTATCTGATTAATTTCACCTTATTAGTATTGTGAGTCTAAAAAGAATAATTATTTTTTGTTTTGATCTAAAATAAATATTTGTTGGACATGAAAATATTTTATTGGGGGGATTTGGAACCTGCTAGAAGAATAAAACTTGTCCGGTTCTTAAAAGTGTAGTAGAAGTTAACCAGGGGCATAAATTTGGTTTGTTATGGCTAGAAAATGAACTACGAGAATGAAAAGGGTAAGGGAGTTAGCCAGGGCTAGGAAATGGGGAGTCATACTTGGCTTAGCTGTAGAGAAAGTCTATCCATAAATTTAATAGTAACCAATTGATGAAAAGTTTTAAATACATTCAACTTCCTTCTTTCCTTTTCCTTCATCCTGCTGCCCAAAAAAGTTATTGATTAAATATCTATACTTCTACAAATATTTGTATGCAAATGCATGATACTTTTTGTCTACTCTCTGCAGTGATGGTGGTTTTAACTAAGGCAATGGCCATATATATAAGCGTAGAGAATAGTCTTGAAAAGTAACTCCTCTCTAAAATACTAACGGAAGAAATGTTTGGCATTTTAAGAATTGCTTTCTGTAAGAACTAGACAGATTTCTTTAATTCTCTTCTCACAGATCACTTCTGCCTTCTTGTTATCCTATTTCTACTCTCCATATGTATTATCTCTTTTTTCCTTTAATCACTTGTGTTGTTAGTGAATTTATTAAAGAATTGACTCCACATATACCCCATTGAACTATGCGTGTGTGGTTGTTTGTGTGTACGTTCTTATCTTGTCTCTAACCCTCTCCACCTGAGATTCTTGAATAAAAGAGCTGTTGATTTTTATTCTTATATTTAGTACATAGTAATTCATCTACAAATTTGACTGAATAAATAATTTCTGAGTGCATAAAGAATAAGAAAGTAGATAAACAAGATATTATTGTGAAAACATGGGAGGAAAGATAAATTCTGACTGAGGGTATGGGTGAGTGTTCATGGTATAGGTGAAATCCAGTTTCACCAAGAGGCGCAGAGATTTGCCAGGCATGTTCCAGCAAGATTAAGGGGCTGATATGACCAAAGGGCATGGTAATTAATTCTAAGTAAAGGATGTTGAGACCATAACACCCTTTAAATGTTATTCTAAACCATTTAGGTTTGAAAAACTTTGAAAGGAGAAACATATAAGGTTTTTGTCCCCAAAAGTGTCATTATTTTACCTTTGATTTGGCTGCATGAAATCATTCTCGTGGAATGAATAGATGAACATAGGGCGAGATTAGAGCTTCTGGGAGATAGGTGAGGAAACCATTGCAGGAATACTGGCGACAAATAGTGAGCAGCTGTGCTATATCGGGGTAGGGTAGGAAGGAGAGGAAGAAGGTTTATGAGTAGGAGTTATTTTAGATCTAAAAGTGTTGTGGCTTGAAACTCCTTGAACATTGGCAAGGATGAAGAGAGAAAAGTTGTAGATCTCTGCGATTTTAAGCTTCATATGAGAGAGCACATGGCTTATTATATAGACTAGTGCATGCCGAAGGCGTTATTATTCATGTCCATGTGCATAATAATCGAATTTTCATAAATAATTAAATAATAAGCCTTGAAATCATCTCCCAAATAACACACATTCTTGGATGGCTTTAAGCACATTTGATTTATGCTGCAGCCATATGAGTGTGCCAAGTACATTTAACTGTATTCAGCAGCCCTATCAGGATCACCAAGTACCTCCTAGAAGAGTGTTTGATGTCTCAGAAGTGTACATTTTAAATCTTGCCAACAAGCCTTAACATTTTAATCATCATGGGTATTATAGCTCATGATACTATTTATATGTTCATTATCATGAGATTCTTGATAGAGTATTAATAATGTTTGGAATAATGAATTAGTCATCAGTACTGAATGACAGGCAGTATTCTTAAGGTTTGTTCAACATAGAGATAATAGACTGTTCATAAGGAATTTGTATTTACCTTTTCACAGGAAACATATACATGTACTTTACATTTTTAAGTGGCATATGTTATTATGCTAATGTGTAAATATTATATTACAATTGTAAAATGTGTTATAAGGGTTTTATATATTTATTTTCTACAAATTATTTGGTGATGTATCTGTTATCATATAATGCTACTTATATCTGTAAATCCTCACTAAATATATACATATATTCTTTCTTCCTTTCTTTCATTTTTCTGATCTGCTTCCATTGATGACTCTATACTTTTGACTCCAGACTGGCAATATGAGGGTAAGATGCAAAAATAAAAATTCCAAACAACCTCATGAGCATTGCTTGTCTGTCTTTGTTTTATTCTCAGAACATTGTTAAAATTTTATTCACTCTCTTTAATTAGATTCCGTATCATGATTAAAATCCAATTATGTTTGTTTCTGTTGTGAAGCTTTAATTACAACTTATCCTTGTTAATCATTCCTTTATGTTATTTCTTTGAGTTAAATTACCATTCCATTATCTCTGTCCTGAAGGCCTGATGCTCTCCAGTGGTCTCTGCTGGGGTTTTCTCAGTAAGATTTGAATAGTTTTATGGTGCGCAAAGTGACTGTGTTATGATGCGGTAAGGCATCTGTGTGGTTCTTATGAAATGTTTTTAAAAATTAAAAATTGTTAAAAGTAATGATGCCTTTTAATTTGATTGTGGAAGTTTTCTTTTTACGTATCAATATACATCTCAATGAATTTGATATCAGAGTAAGTGCCCCTGCGGTTGTGACTTCTTATCTTTGGTTATTTTCTCTCTTTAGACTGCAAACTAGCTAGGGGAGGACCACCAGCTACCATAGTCGCTATTGATGAAGAGAGTCGGAATGGTGAGTGAGCTTTATGTTTTATGACTTATCTAAGATGGATTTCTTCTAATTTCAATGCTAGATTTGTTATGCATGAAAGTACTAAATGAGAGCTTCAATCCAAATTCATGAACAGCTTCTCTTTAATTTCTTTCCTGTATGGGTTTAGATATTGTCATTCCCTTGAAATGCTTTACTTGGATTATATCATGAGAAACTCTTTTAATGAGTGACTAGTAATGTTTAATTTTGATTATGAAGAAGTCATTTGATTCAGAATCAATCCAAGAAGCCATTGCAGATACTGGCTGGAATAGGTAGAGTTGACTATTATACATGCGCAATCACCTAGGCATCTAACTAAAATACATTATATTCCTCCAAAAGAAGTGGACCACAAGGGAAGCCTTACACTACTAACTTAAATCGGCTAAAATCTAGTAAGAATTAGGATCCATAGCCTATTAGACATGGTGATTTAGAAATGGTTAACAAGAAAATCGAAAGTGCTTGGGAATAGAAAAACTGACAAAAATTCTAGAGCAAAGAAGTGTGAATTTTCACTCAGGTCGTCTACCATAATTAATAACTAATACCTAATTCATATTAAGTTCTTCAAAAAGATAACTGTCCTTATCAAAATCAAAAATAAGTATAATGAGCACTTTTTTTCCACAACACTTTTAACCACTCTAAATTTTAATATACCAATATTTAGAGATTCTCTTCCTCTATTAGGAAGCAGTGAAATGATAACATCTTGAGCTGTTGGTTTCTAATTCAAACTATTTTAAGTGTGAGAATGTGCTCTGTGGCTCACTTTGCCTACTAATTCTATAATGGACCCTCTGTTGCACTTGTTTGATTTGCACTTTCTGTCTATTCTAAGCATTGTGGTTTCTGGATTTATATTTAAGAAGAAAAATTGTCAATTATAAGAAGATGTGATTTTTCCTATAATTTAACCTGCATATATTTTGAAAAACTTTTATAATATACATAGTATCTACATTGTTCACTTCATCATGAATTTATTGAGCTGCATTAAAAACATTCTTTTACTCTTTTGAAGAGCTGGCATAAACTTTTTTTTTGCACATCCTTCAGAATAGGCCAAAAATGTCTGCAGCTTTGCTGGACTCTGTTTGAACAAATTTAAATGTCTACTTTAAATTTTAGCAACATTTTAAAAATCACAAAAATTTAAGTTTTTAAAAATTATTTTTAAAAATACAATTTTTATTGAGCTTGAATGTATTTGAAGTTATTAATAGCTATTATGATGCATTGAAATAAATTGGAAATAAACCCTATATGTATCTGCAGAAAAGGAAACATATATAAACATGCTACGCCAGAAATATTTTCTGCCTCACATGTAGTATCGTGGTTTATTTATGGTTAACTATCTTTTTCTGTGAACAAATCTGTACTTTCTAAATATTCCATAATGAAAACATTTTGCTTTTTTAACCATAGACCCTCCCCCGCAAAAAATGACAGAAGGCCAGCCTATATTTAATTGTCTTATTGTTCACCAATTCCCTTGAACATATGAGCTGAGCCGAACTAAAACGTTTAGTTTAAAGAAATAATTTTCTTTAATGTGTGATTTTATACAGAGCTTACTCTGCCAACCAGAAAATTATAGCCATGATTACGATGATATTTTATCTCCTCTTATGTTGATTCAATCCCTCTTCAAAGTAGCTCGGGATGTCTACAAAGGTGTTGCCGTAGCAGCACTGTACAATGGCATGTTGTGAAAGTTCAATATTTGTGTTTTAGAAGAATGTGACATAATATAGAGCAGTAATGTTGTGCTCTTTAATTGGCATATTTTGTAGAAACTGCCAACTACTGAGAATGCTGCCAAAGTTATTTGAGTGTCATCACAACTGTATATCAAAATTCAGTGCTAAAAAAAAATAAGCTATTAATCAATGAAAAGATATGAAGGAAACTTAAATGCCTAATTACTAAGTGAAAAAAACCAATCTGAAAAGGCTATTCTCATGATGAATATATGTCGTTATACATTTGTATAAATCCATAGAATGTACAACACCAAAAGTGAAACCTAAGGTAAACTGTAAACTTTGGATGATCATGATATTTCAGTGTAGGGTCATCCTTGGTAAAAAATGTATCATTCTAGTGAATGACATTGATAATGGGTTAGGCTATGCATGTGTGGGGGCAAAGGGTATATGAGAAATCTTTGTATCTTCCTCTCATTTTTGCCGTGAACCTGAAACTACTCTAAAAAAATGAAGTCTTAAAATATTTCTTCTGGAAATATATGTTCTAGTTTCACTCGACTCCGAGTTGCTTATGGCATTAAGTCCTTAATGGAAGAAGAGAGGCCAAGAGCAGTTATGCTGGAACTATTTAAAGCCTGTCTCTCAGTGCCAGCCAAATCAGAGTCCTGGCTGCTTTACAACAACTATGGAATGACATTCAAAGAGGCATTGGAACAACTGGTTCAGACTAGTTCTTAGAAACTGGATAAATGCATAGGCAGTGCTGAGTAAAGGGAACAAGACAATGAATTTTAAGTCATAATTTGAAGATAACTGATTAGACAAAAATGGACAGATTCAGAGGCAAGAAGATGTCACTATCTATATGAGAGATTAGAAGGCCCATCCTAAATATCCTTTATGGATTTGGTTAAAAAGATATTGTGAGCTCACAGCAAATTTCAGAAATGAAAGATAATACTGGATGTCTTCACAGTTTGGAAGCAGCAGCCGACAAAGGATGCCATGGATGTTTCCCCATCCTTGTCAGGGCAATTTCCAGAGCCAGAGTGTGAACCAAGTTGAACTTACATGCTTTCAGGGTGGGAGAGGAAGTCATAAAAAAGGAACGATGACTTCATTTATTCACTCTTTTCCTGGCATTTCTCTGGTCCAAGCATGCAGCTAGGGGAAGGGGATAAGGTATAACTATTTCAAATAGTTATTTGAAGGTATTACTATTTCAAATACCTATATAGTTATTGAGGGGCAGAGTAGAAGACTAAATCTTTATGTTGATGTTTTTCATTCTTTATAGTTGCCAATTACATGTCTCTCAGAGTTATAGTAAGGAATTAGTCAATCTTTGCCCGACAGACCTCCAAAGAATTCCAAGTAGAGTGGCAAACACTCCTAGTAACAGAGGCCTTGCATTCATGGAAAGACAAACCATAAATAACCAACATGTCTTTATGAATATTCCAAGGTTCAAACAAACTATTCTGTGATAAAATGCTTCGAAATGTCAGTGTTCAGGCCCCTCTCCTTTTTGCCTATTTATTTTCATTCTTCTCCTTCATTCTCTACAGAGAGCAAGGTCTAAACTAGTAGAAATTTTTTGCCAGATGCACAGAGTAGAAGTACAGTAGACTGTAGAATAACTCAGAGTTGAAGATGAGTGGAATTGTGTATGTGAGACAGCGCCAAATGGTGAGAACAGAGGGAACTGAGGAAACAAGATGGAAATTATCAGGCAGCCTGGATGATGGTGTTCCTCCGGGCTAAAGTGAAAGGGGCTAAGGGTTTGATCAAGAGGCAGGAGGTGCTAGGAAAAAAAAAATATATATATATATATAGTAGATGGGAAAGTATTTCAATAACAGTTGCCATAGACAGAGTCCTTTGAGAGAAATGTTATTAAAGATTAAAATTCTTATCTGGGCCTGTCATTTGGGCATGTTTCTTTCAATGTGTCTATAACTAGAACACTGGTTTAAGATGTTCCTAGATTTAATTAATTAATTTATTAATTCTCTCTCAGTTCTGTGATAAGTAAATCTTTTAATTATTTCAAATAAAGCACATAACAAAGTATGGCCTACATATTTGCATATTGAATAAAATATGAAATGCAGGATATACTCTTAGATATTAAGCTTTTGAAAAATACATAGAACTTTGTCTATGGTCATGCTACCCTGAACAAGCCTGATCCCGTCTGATCTTGGAAGTGAAGCAGGCTCGGGCCTGGTTAGTACTTGGATGGGAGACCACCTAGGAAGACCAGATGCTGTAGGTGTAAAAAATAGAAAAATAAGAGATTGTAAACTGACAGGATCCTTGCAGTGAGGTCAACCAAGCATTGCCTCACCTGAAACAAACAAACAAAAAATATGTAGAACTTTATTTAAAAATAAAAGGGCGAGGGAGATCTATTATATTTATCTAATGGAAAGGATCTTTCTAAGTGGTTGGTTTTAAACAATTACTTTCTGTAGGCACTTTTGTCTTACCTCTATTCTGTATTATTGTCTTATTCCTACTGTAAATAGTATTTGTCTCTTTTTAATTTTTGTCAACGAATTCCAGAATAATTCCATATCTAAAATAAGAGAAAAATTAAAAGACAAAATTAAAACAAATAAAATGAAATATGATTATATGCAATAGAATACATACTTATAGAATAAGCAACTATAATAATAACAGAAATTCTATGAAGATTAAGGTAAATTAATAGATGACTATGCAAGCTTATAAAATATTAAAATAAGACTAAGACCTCATGTGGGGTTAAATAAGATCATTATTGTTGGCATCAAGCAAATGACATTTGGCTCAATATGGTAGTTTTGTTTTTCTGAATAAATAAGAAAAAAATGTTTTTTTTGTTCTATAATTTTATCACATCCTAACGTGATTCTTAACTGCTAAAATACTAAATCTTTTTATAAGACATTAGTAGCTTTATGATTAGATTGCTTATGGATGCTGCATAGTACTAAAATCATGATTCAAAATTTTTCTGTTATTCTACTTTTCCCAGTTATTGTCAAGTCATTCTGAGTTATTTTCAATGAAAGGTGTACACATTGATAAAGAAATAGAATTTTTCCATAAATTATGGAGGAGTTAAATGAAACTATCTGAAATGCATTTGCCAATATTAGACCTAAGTTGATGTAACAAAAGTCATGTCCATTTCTCATATATTTTAGTCCTCTTATTATTGTGACTGTACGACAACTGTCATAGTAGAAAACAATTTGGTTCTGCTCA